GTAGTTTGTATATACAGAAAACACATTGACAATCATGTCTGATATTTCATCTTTGTACTTCCTTTTAGTTGCTTGTCCTAACACTTGTACCAGAAAAACCTTAAGAGCTATGTTGTGTTTAAAGAGAGATGGAAAGGTTATAAGGGCCTGAAGCCCCAGCATCAGTAGCAGAGGAAGAATCAGAGCTTAAAAGTGCCTTAATCTCTACGCTGTATTCAAACTACTAAGATCACACTTTCTTCTGAATTTCTATCTTTCTGCTAGGAAAGAGTAAAAAAAGAAGAGAGAGGCAAGATATTTACAAACTGCATACCCCATACACATTTTATACTTCTGTTACTGTTTTAAATTATATGCAGTCTGTCACAAGCAATTGGTGCTATCAGTACTGTGGATATGAAGGGTATAGCTATACTTAGACGATGTTTATGCCCACAGTATTACATCATCCCATACACTCAGCAATTTTATTCACCTAATATTCTTAAGCCTAAATGAAAAACACAGCATGTAGCAGTAACAGAAAATTGTGAAAGAGGGAGTTAAACTTGTGCATGCAGAAGAGAGTTTGTTAATGGCAACAAAACTTGCTCTGTTCACCTTGGATTTGATATCCCTGTGCAACACACGTTTATCATGGATGTGCTTCACACCCAGGCACATCTGCACAAACCAGTGAAGGATCTGAAAAGAGTAACTGATAGTTATAACAGCTCAACGCTGTATATAATGAGTACTTTACTAATAGATAAAATTCCATTAATTAAAAAAAAACAAACCACCTTCAGAATATCTGGGAGTTGTAACTGTAGCATAATGGCCTAAAGTCAGCATGAAAGACTGAATTATTTAAGATAAAGTATATTTTAACACAGCAGAATGAATGTTTGCTACCTGTGTCTAAAAAAACCTAATAACAATAATGAAGCTAGGGAGTCACTACATGGCACTTTGTAAGCATGCCAATTACCATTTCATAGTAAATAAGCAAATTAAAAAAAAAAAAAACCAAACAAAAAACCACAATGAGATAACATACCATTTCTAAAAGGAAAAGTATTATTTTTAAAAGTACAAAATAAAGTTCTTAGAGATGCTTGGCCAGTCTAAATATTAGATTAAATGAGGATTCTCGTCTTTTAATTTTAACTAAGATGATGCTTCTAACCGTGACAGGAGGTAGTTTTGAGTCACTACAGTGTCACTTTGGACCTTTTCCTAAGTAATTTTATAGCCTCTGTGACAAAAGGTGTTAATGCCTGATGAATGTTTTAAAAAAATAACTGCTACATAATATGCAGGCTCCTGGCTAGTTTCATTTATCTCACTACAGTGCTTTCTTTACTTTTCATTTGCAGTACCTCTTACTGTGCTTTAAATTCTGAAGGCTGAGGTTTGTGTTAAATCCTTACTTAATTGAATAGATTTATGCATGCAAACCTGACTGTATTTTTCACATTGACTACACATTTCTCAGATACTGGCAACAATTTATTTCTTATTTCTTTCAGTCCAATTTTCATCTTGTTCTGCTGGAAATTATCAAAGAAATAATGCTTCTCTGCTATCAATAACTGGCTTTGTTTCATTTAAGGTACTTTAATGTAGTTTGTATATTATATATCTCTGTATATCTATAATTTGTTTTATATGGTGTAGGGTGCTTCAGTTTAAATGAAAAATGATTCCTAGGTAATCAGTTCAAAACAATGTCTTCTCTTACCGTATCTTCAGGGAACAACTTTCCTCTTTGGTGTTTAATCTTTTGCATTAAATCTCCATCATCACAATATTCCATCACTATATACAGATGTCCATCAGCTAAATTTTAGGTAATTTAAGAATAATTAGTGATTTCATTAGCAGGGCAAGTATATTATTGCTACTATAAAGGTCTGATTACATGTTATATATTATAATATGCTATAACAAAATATAATAAACAAATTATAATAATATAAAATGTATTACAATAAACATGTGTTTTGTTTATAACATGTACTATAAACAAACACAAAAATTAATCTTGATCACTCAGGAGTATGCAATTTCAAACAAAATAAAGATACTCTAAGTTTTTATATTTACCTTCAAATGACTCTTTATAGGCAACGATATTTGGATGTTTCATTTTAGCCAAAAGAACTGCTTCCTTCCTAGAGTTCTCTACATCAGATGAAGACTGAAAATGTAATTACACTTACATAAATGTCACATTAAAGGATTTTCATATATACCCATGATGCACCCTGCTTTCCAAAAGGAAAATATTTTTAAGAATTGTTCTTCCGCTATTTTAAAAAGTCATTAGAAACTTGAAAACCCCATCATTTTTTAATCTATGGTTTATTACTAGTTGAAGACTTCTTTGGGTTTTGGGGTGGGTTGGTTTGTTGTTTTGTTTTGTATTTTAGAGAATATTGTCCTACTTCAGTTAATGATTTTTTTTTTTTTTTTCTATTTTAACAATGCAGAACTATATAATAAAGCAACACACACCGACTTTGGAACAGCTGACAGTCTACACTGCATGAACTTGGTATAAAGCCAAGTGCCCAGGTATTAAGTGAGCTTCAGCCTCAATGAAGCCAGTGCCTCCCATTTTGTGACTTTTTGGTTAGTTAAGTGCAGAGAAGTTAACCTGAATAACATTATCAGCAATAATATGAGGCTAATTTCCTCATTAGGTATTGCAGATGAAATCTGTCTTCTATTGAAATCAATGGGAATCCAGCCAAGGGCATCAGGAGAACAGGGGTTTCATTCTAAGTGTCTTCCTATGTGCTACTCTTCCCAAAATTTAACCAGGCACTTTCTGAAACAGATCAGATTTTGCTACTTTACTTATTAACAACATTGACTCAGACATAGTTATATAGTAGCCACACCATGCAACTGCCTAATACACGAAAATCTCAGCAAAAGTGTTCAGCATTTCAAAAATACATCCAGAACTAGGTTTTTTTTAAAAATCTTTGTTAAGCAGTGGGTGAGGTAATGTACATGTCACGCTTACCATAGGAAGTCTTATCTCCTTCATTGCATACTTCTGGTCACTGATTCTATGATGAACTAGGAGAGCTCTGCCAAATGATCCCTCTCCTAGTACTCTCAACACTTTGTATTCTTCCATTCTTTGTAAGTCTAGGTCCAACACTTCTCTTCAAACACTGTCTTTCACAGGATGATCTTCTAAACTTTGTCATGACCTCGATTCATTTTTTTTAATTTTTTTGTTAATATAATCTGCATGAGAAAAAAAAAAAAAAAAGCAAAATGGTGAGAATGACTGATAATTGTGGGTACCTACAACTGTCCAGCATTACCACAAATACAATTCCAACCATTGTTACTGTTTGACGAAAATGAGGCCTTCAGAAAGTTCAACCAAAGTATCATACGGTATATCTCTGCATTTTTAAATTTTGACTGCTAAAGCTCTTTAAAAATGTAAATTATACACCTGCAACTTATTAACATCTTTTTGTTACCTGCATTCTGCAAGTGGTTTCATAATGCTCCTAACAAAGCTTCGTAATCTAACTTCGTAACAAAACTCACAGGCACAATAATAAAAACAAGCAGCTTCAAGCTTCCAGTGACAGTTCTCACCTAAAACAGCATGAGCAGCATCAAAATTGAAAAAGTTACTGGTGTTCATGCACAAAAACCTCAACGACTGGCAGATTTAGAACAGAATAGTTCCGTTGGATGGGATGTACAATGATCGTCTAGTCCAACTGCCTGACCACTTCCCAGCTGACCAAAAGTTAAAGCATGTTGTTAAGGGCCTTGTCTAAATGTGTCTTGAAACAGACAGGTGTAGGGCATTGACCACCTCTCTAGGAAGACGGTTTCAGTGTTTAGCCACCCTCTCAGTAAAGAAATACTTCCTAATGTCCAGTCTAAACCAACTCTGATGCAGCTTTGAACCATTCCCACACATCCTATCACTGGATTTACAGACTACGTGCTTTCTTCAAAACGTTGGTACTTCTAAGTTGGTTATCCACGATTCATACAACATTTTATGTGCGCACTGTTCTAATGGGCCGATGAGTTGTTTTCAGAAGGGAACTCGGGGCTTGTCCCTGATAAAACGCCGAATTACTCAGAGGCTGAAAAAGAAACGCGTTGATTAACTGAAAACCGAAGGCACCTAAGTGATGACCGAGGACGGTGTTTTTCAGGGGAACGGGCACACTCGAGGTGCGCTTCACGTTAACAGTAGTCACACCCGGTAGCTGTGTGTCCCTTACCCTGGGGAGGGGACGCTGAAGCCCCTCAGGCCCCGCTTGGGCCCTGACGGCGGAGGCGGTCGGTACTCACCTCAGCGAGCCGCGCAAACCGCCGGGGCCTCCACCCGGCGCCCGAGGAAAGGCCGCGGGCAGGCCCGGCGCTCCCGCCCAGGCGGGCCGGGCTGGGCGGAGGGAGCAGCCCCGGAGGGCGGGCGGGAGCGGGGGGGGCGCTGGTCCCGCCCCGCCCGGGCTCTGAGGGAGCGCTGCGCGCGGCGATGGCGGCCCGACCTTTGGTGGAGCCTTTCCCACTTCTGTTCCTCACACCGCGCTAACGGGGCTTGTACCCGGTATTCATTAACAATAAACAGCTCTCCGCGGCTTGCCCAGCACCTCAGTAGGAGTCCTGTGAGTACGTCAAGGGTCTCTTTAGACTTTACTTTGCACAGAAGGCAGAGTACAAGTCCCTGTTAACAGTTTCACCTTTGGTTGCCCTAGTGTTGCGAGACTCATTTGTGCAGAACTTAAGTTTAGCTGAACTCCAAATGCTCAGGTGAGGTTTAAGTTACAGTTCATGTGAACTCCGCATACTGAGGAGATGGAAACAGCTTCTGATGAAGGTAAAAAAATTTCACAATGTTCTGCTCTGGGAGTTCACTTCCAAGAACAGACTGAAATCATTTTCAGAATCCCAGACTCAAGCCTATAGTCATGTCCTACAAGTAGTTTCCAGCCTAAAACCCATAAATAAAGAACAAATACAACTCAGGTGATTAGTTTAATAAGTATACCATATTACAGACTAATGCAAACCAATATTAGAATACTCACATAGTGTATTAGACTACATAGTAATTAGTATATCAGACCTCACCTTGATCATGAATAATCCCAGCAGCTAAAGGCATTAAACAGATTATTTTGTTGAAATAATCTGTAATAATGGATACAACAGTTTAAACTTAGTGTACACTTTACTAGCTGGTTTCAGTTTTACAAACTAAATGTTGCTGTAGTAAACATTGTCCTATTAGAATGCCTACGTTATTTTCATTTCTTAAAACTAGATTGTTCACTTCTAAAGAATTTATAGGAATCATAACATGAAAGCAGTAGATATTAGCAATATACAATGAAATTGTTACATGAAGTGCTAAACCTAGTCCTTAATTCAATATTTAAGGAATCATATTTAACATGAAGACAACTGATGTTTCTAAGTACTAAAACCAGACCAGATTTACCACAATTTTGAAGAGGCAGGAACTTATAGATTCAAAGTTTAGTGACTCAGGCAGTCAAACCATTTATGCAAGTTTTAAATAGTTCTTCTCTCAAAGCTGCTAAAAACAAACACCCCCCGAACTTAATGGTCCAATCTTTAACCCCCGTGTAGCATTAATGGATAATTTTTACTCTTCTACTTCAGCATTTGTTTCTCTGAGCTCATTGCTCTCCTTGTGGATAAGCGTAGTGTCTTTTGATTCCAACTCTTCCAGCTGTTCAAATGTAGAGACACATGGATTTTGATCTTTAACAGTATCCAACAACTTGCATGTCTTCTCCCGAATACGTTGAGAATATCGCAAAGGGGTTAAAGTTTTCAGGTCTTTAGTACTGGAGTCATTTGCCTCATGGTACATCTTCACACTTAGGAAGAGAAGAAAAATAACTAAACACAGGCATACCGTCATACAAATTACCTCTGTAGCATCTAGCAGAAACAGCAAGTCATGATTCTTGTTCAACTCCTTGATTCCCATAGCTTAAGGAAACAGGCCCTTTCCCATTCATACCATTAAAAGCAGATGTACAACCCTTTTCTTGGGCAAAATATTTTAGTCTGGAGAACCTCCTGAGGAGCTTCCAAAGAAAAATTCCCCCCTATTTTATCAGGGGGAAACTGTTCTTCCTGCTATGAGGGATAGGACAGCTGCCAGTAGTTCAGCTTCATTAGATGCCAAAGCTGAGCACAACTTTCCTATGTCTATCTTAGAAGAAACCTTGTAACAAAAAGAGTTTAAATGTTATCTGTTTTTTTCCTGAGATTACTACCGAGATTTTTGCCTCAAGATACAATTAAGATAGCCTTTAGAACAGTTACATCTCATTCACTTCATGTCCTATGACATACAACCACATCTACATTTGAAAAAGGGAAAGTCTGCAGACACCTACTTTCTCTTTACCTAGCTCAGTGCAGAACTGCCACTGCTATGCAGGCTCTGGGAAGGGATTCTAAATCTGGAATTAATGTCTCTGCCAAAGAGGTTTGATTACTCTGTAGTGAGGCATTCAAAAAGCAAAGCAGTTTGAGTAAATGTAGAAGTGTATTTAAAAACACTTCCTTCTGAAGGAATGGGAAGCAATCCTACAAAACCAAGATCTTGAGAGCTTTTAACTAGGTGTTCATAAGGGCAGTGCCTCCCTGTTTCAACAGGACACCAACATTACCGTTACCCCAGACACTGCAAACTTTCCATTGTTACCTGAAATAATCCTACCTTTCCAAACATGGTGTGGTAGATAGATCGTGTCTCATTAAATAAGAAGTGTCATTCTCCTTCGCAGGAGAATTAACTTCTTGGGCTATATCTTTCACCCCATCCTCATTCTGCTCTGGTGTTTTACGTTTTTTTTTCTTTTTTTTACGTTCCTTAGTCTTCTGGTTTTTGTTCTTTTTTGGCAAGATCTCTTCTCTTGGTTTCAAGTTTAAATCCATTTCTTCTTTTGCGATCAATTCACTGCTAATCTCTGCCTCCTTGTCATCACACTCTGCTTTTTGGTCATCATCAGACCTGAGATCCTCGAGGGCCTCCTGAACCTGCTCTACAGATGGATTTGGTTCCTTGTTGACTTCCACTACGTCACTTAAATGAGCTTCTATCACAGTTGTCCCTAAAATTGAAATATTGAAGAAAGTACAGCTGTAATTAGTTACAACTAAGTTAATGCATTAGAGAGATTTCTGAAATCTTAAAGCTTTACATGGAGAATGGAAGTGAAGTATGTATTGAGTCCAAGCCACAGCAATTTAAGTTACTAGTAAATAATTTTAGTCACCTTCAAGAACCTGCAACTTGAAAACTCAGGCTAAGTACATCCTGAAAAGTCATTCTCCTCCTTCCCAAGTGCAGCAGCTCTGAACAGGTATTTTAGTCAGTTTCTGGGGTCCAACACTTGTCAGGTTACTTTACATTGAACAGGAATGTACATGGCTACCTTGCTTCCAAAATTGGATATTTACCAACTTTAATTGACACTATTCTGTAACACAACTAGGCATCTGCTAGTGAAGGAGTTTGTGTCAGAAGCAACTGATTTTTAGCTCACGAGAATTTATTTACTCTTTGATTATCAGGCTAAAATAGCTGGACAACATTGCTTTCTTAGAGTTTAAGTAGAAAGTTGGAATATGAAAGCATCTCCACTACTCATTTTAACATGCCCACAACTGAAAAGGATTAGTTTAGTCAAGGTTGTTTTCAAAGACAATTGAGTACAAAATGATCACAGAAGTTTCCATGAAATAGAATTCAATATAGGCACAAATAGTTTAAACAGTTAGCTTTGTGTTGCCTGTCAAGTCAGACATTTAACTAGAACAGATTGCTCGGACTTACCATGCCCAGACTTAAAAAGGCTTTCAGTATTTTTCATAATATCTATTAGTGTGTGTCGTAGCTCATCTTTAGGCTGGAAAAAAGTTGTATTGTTTTAGAAAAACAATTCCAAAATTAGTTGTAATTATATAACTAATAATATACAGCTTATTTCATATAAGTTAAAGCAGTACAGATCACATGATGCTTATGCTATAAACCCTTTATTTAATGCTGTTCAGACATAAATCAGAACATAAATGGACCCTGTATTTCTGTATTTGGTGCACTAAGGCTGTATTTGGTGCCCTGAAATACTGTTGCTGTTAAAGCACAGGAATTAAGTCCATCAATAAATGTAAAATTAAGTTCTGTTTTGGGTTTCTAGTCATATTAGAAGTCTCAGTCCTTAATTTCTCCCAGGCAGAACATCATATGCTCTTTTGATGATCCTAAACCTTTTATCTTGAATGTAATAAGTATCTACAGAAGTTACAGAGCAAGCCAAATCCAATGTTTTTATATTCAAGTAGGTCACATGGCTCTCCTTCTACTATAAAGGGACTTATTAAAATCAGAAACATGGTATATAACATACAATTACTTTCATGTCTTTATATTTGTTAATCTCAAACTTCAAGACAAGCTGCTCACCATTGCTCCTGCCAAAACAGCCTCTTCATAGACAGCAATAATCTTTTCAAGAGGGCCCATCTGTTCAAGACGAATACAACAGATCCAATATTTTGCAAGCTTTTTAGCCCCGGGAATGTTCTGTGTCAGGTCTTCCAGCATGGCACGTACTTCATTGCCTCGACATCCCTAAAGTTAACACAAGAACAAAGATTTAAATGCAGTGAACATTTTGAAGTGCTGGTTTTGAACTGGAAAGTAAGCCTGAAAGGTGGAGATGGCAAGTATTTCCATGTCTGAACTATGAACTTGAACAGAACTGTCATTCACCTGTTCTTCCAAATGAAAATTAATTATTTATACAGTATTGTAAGTAGAAGGGATAGTAGAATGCACAGACTTTTTCAGAACTATTTAAACTAGACTTTTTCAGAAGGCCAGGCAAGTTTCTGCAACTACCAAATTGGTTTAGATTAACTACTCCATAGCAACTTTCATTACCTTATAGCTTTTCTACTTTATTATTGTTACCATTATCGCCTAAACTTATTGGGCAGTTTGGCAAGTTAGTGAAGCTTAAGTGAGAACTAATTTCTTCAGGTGTTGACAAAAAGCTATAATATTGTTTAACTTGGGGAGCAATTAATCCCCTGCACCTGCTTCACAGGTCCAGCACACCTGTAGGACTTGCACGTTGTAGGGAGCTATATGATTAGAACTTGGTAGGCAAGGGATTGAGTACCTGTTCTGTTAACTGCAGGCATTCTGTGAGAGTCTTGTTGACCTTTTCGCTATGGAATACATGCTCTGAAGAATCACCAGAAGACAATTCTCTTTCTTCACTTTTAGACTGGGGTCCCAGAAGCACAGATATAGGAGGTCTCTTCATTATTTTTCCTCTAGATGCCCTCCATTCATCCAGGCGAGCTCTGCATTTAAGAATATTATTAGATACCTAGAACAGCTATCACTTCAGCTGTTGGGTCAGGACACTCTAATCTCTCAATTTCCAGCAGCAACAAGAAACTTAGCCTACAGACTTTTTTTTTTTTTTTAAGAGAAGGTTAAAAAAATCCTTAAGATTTATTTGTATGCGTCACCTCTTTCATCATCACATTTCAAATGATAAAACCAGAAACCATCTCTAAAGATACAAAGTATGGAAAGCAGGCCAGAACAACCCTATCACAGCTTTTAAAATCTGAAACTGATGATGCATAAGTGTAATTCAGTCTTCATCTATCTTTCATTTCAACACCATCCCCCCCTTAGACAACCAATTTTTAGGAAATGTGACTTTCTACAAGGAGCTCTACCAAGAATACTAAATAGCTTTTAGATTATGAATCTTCATCCCATCTAAGCTGCATTCACCAAACTGAAAAATACATCATTGACAAGTGATCTCCTTCAGTCCATAAACATGCTCACTTTTATATACACCCTACATCAGTCTTTTTTTTTTTTTAAAGCAGTAGCATGCACATGCAATCCAGTTACAGCATTATCTGTCATGCTTAAGGCTGTCAACACTTACCCTAAAAAGCAGCGAGCTTGAGCAATATACATATTTGATTTATAACCACACCGGACAAGTTGTAAGCATGAAGAGCTGCTGCAATTAGTACTGAGAAAGCAGGGTTCAGAACAAGCCTACAGTTTTAGTCTGCTGCCCTTGGGCATCAAGTGCAAACACCCAGTTCTCTTATTTCTCAGTGCATCTACAGCAAGAAATAGATATTCTTAGAAAGAAAGTCAAAGTACCTCCCAAGATCAAGCTACAACAGTAATTCAGTTACCTTCTCTCTTCTGCCGACACTTTTGTCAGAATAAATTTTCTGTTGCCATTAGTTTTAGAATCCTGTCCTGACTTTACACCAGGAACAACAGAAATTGGTTTTGCTGAAGCTTCTGGTCCTGCATCTTCATAAAAATCTGTGCATTTCTTCACTCTTGGTACTCCCCGGTCAGAATTGTTAGAAGCAGCCTTCAGTGGCTGTGGTCCCCTTCTACCAATCCTCTTTGGGATTACTTGCTTTGGTGCTACAGCAGATGTCAGCTGCCGTTTCTTCAGATGGGACTGTGGGTTAACAGCAGCTTTGTCAGATGGTTTGCTCTGGAATGGGAGAACCTTATCTGGATTTACAGAATCAGCATTGTTTGTGACTTTGATGGTCTTCAGAACTACATTGCAGTTGCTCGCAGATAACGAACTTGCTGCTGGTTTGGTGGCAGAAGGAAGAAGCTTCTTGTCTGGCAAAGAACTATTTTCCCCCTCACTTTTCGGTGCTTTTCGGAAGGAGTTTATCTTGGATTGGATAACTTTTCCACGATATGTACCAAGCACTGGTTTCTTTGGTAGGCCAATACCTGAATTTTGCTTATCTGCAATCAACTGCTTCTCTCTTATGCTTTTTGTTTTCAAGAAGGACCTGCTAATTGACACATGCTGAGATTTTATTTCTGTACCATAATCCTTGGAAGCACAATCTTCAGGATTGTCGTTTGTCCCTGATATGGAATTTGTCAGTGTGATTGTGGCAGAGTTTAAAACAATATTTTTTTCTGAGGTTCTGCTTGATTGATCCCATGACAGTTTATTTTCTTTATTTTCCTGAAATCAAAAATATAGCCACGGAGATGTTAAAAGTACCTTCATGCTGCATGTTACTTGTTTCCAAAGCAGCTTTCACGCATTTACAGGACTAAAGTGATTAACAGTAGTAGATACTTTAAAAGTAAAAGTGGCATTTAAAGTAGTGTATATATACCGAGTAGAATATTTGTCAACTATTATGGCAGAATTCACATTAAACAATCCTTATTTGATTTTTTTTTTTTTAAACTATGTCCTGGAAGTAAGAAGGTCTAACCAGAGGGCTACACTCTTTTTAAGGAAAGAAAACTCTCAAAGCAGCTGCTGGCTCTTCTATGCCAAATCACCTCCGTAGAAGAGTCATAAAGTAGAAACTTGCTTTAGGATATATAGTCAAAAGCAGCAGTATCTCAGTTTGCACACCCCATCACTTAATGGTAGTACCATTCTTTCACTTAGTGCAGATAGCTTACCTACATAAGGTAATAAGTAAAGCCTTTAATTAGGGCACTGGGATACGTTACCAGAAGAGGGAGACTTTTTCTTACTAATGAGCTGTAGAATGCTTTAGTTAAGAATAGACGTGCACATTTTACATGGGCTTACTTCTCCATGAAACTCTCTAGCATATGTTCTCAGCACAATCCTAGCCCAGAGGCCATGAGAAGCAGGACCTAGCCTTTTCCTCCAAAGAAGATGCTCTACAGCAACTAATCCAGCATTGTCCAAGCAGCAGCTTATGGAAGAGTGAAAGATCCAAAGGTGGGGGAAAACAAAACAAAACACAAACCAATAAAAAACCCCACACACCAAAAAAACCAACCAAACATAAATGATACATGGAAGTCTGCAAAAGCTGATACTCTTCTCCTTTATGGAAAATGCCCTTGAACTGTAAGAAAACTACACCACATCTTATTTCCTGGTCTGTCATTCAGGCTTAGAAGTTACAGTTGATCAAGCTGATAACTAGAGCTTCTTAAGTATGAGGGCTGTTTTTTCAGGAAGCTATGTAGTTTAACTCAACTTTAAAAATCACATGATATATTAACACAGACCAAAATATGTCCCTTCAAGAAATTCCTAAAACAACTTTGTTCCCATTTTTGGAATTTTTTTCCGACAACACTCCGTTTTGAAGTTTTAAAGGTTTTACTGTCGTCCTCAAATAACACCAAGTGTCTCAAATCTTTGAGAACTCAAACTCAAAACTATCTACACATGAACACAGGTTTTGTGTCTAATTCCCTGCCTTAGCCCCCATCACTTTTCCCCCAAGAATAGGTCTGGAGAAGAATCTGTATTTTGCAATTTTTAATCAGCACAAAGATGTACACCTTAATTCTGGAAACTGACAGAAAATGATATAGGGAAAACATTCCCTTGAACTCTGATTAGGTATTAGCATCTGTTACTGAGTACATTCAATTTGCCAGCATCACAACTGAAAACCACACTCATTCAGCAGCTACTTTTGTTAGTTTTTTGGGTTTTTTTTTTCCCAAGTAACAGAGTACAATAGAAGAATTATCTACTTGGACAGAAGACCTTGCACACATTGTAAATAACCTTCCTGAAGACTTAAAATATATTCAGAAAGTTCTGAGAGTCTCACAAAAAAAGTTGTTAAAATTTAATCATTATTTCAGCAATAATGATATCCTCTTTAACACCCTCTCTAGTCAGGTACAAACTGAATATTAATATGATGCGTTACATACAGTAATGCGACAGCTCTCCAAAGAGCATAAGATAAACAGTCACTGAATAAAGTTTTAACCAAGTACACCTCTGCACGTATAAATTTTCTCACACTCTGGAAGTCATAACACTTGAATACAGTTTAAGTGAGTGGAATATTGCTGCCACAGAAACAGAGTGTCATTAGTATTTGAATATGAGTCAAAAACTTACCATTTCTGGCTTTGGAGATGTCGAGAGCTGCATTTTGGTTTGCAGATTATTGCTAGTTGCTCTCCTAGTTCTGCTACTGCTTAGAAAAAAAACAAGACATCTTAAATTACCCTGCAACACAACAAAGGAATGTATTTTTAGAGTAAGTTCATATGGTTCAGATGGCAGTCTGCAGGCTGAATTCACACTGAACCATTTCTGTTCAGTTTGCACTCTTCCCCCAGAAAAAATAAATGGCTAAGCGACCGCTAAGCAGAGCCCAGACTGCAAAACGTGCCTTTTCACACCATGAAGAGCTGCCTAACAGAGGGGAAGAGAAGACTTTATTTACTGCAGGTGTGATTTTCATGTCTAAGGATGAGCACCAATCTGTCTGGTCTGATGCATCTACTACAGAAGGTCAAGTTTTTAAATGCTGCAGTGGAGGGGGAAGGAAGAGAAGCACAAGGAGTTGAAGCTCAGCTACTGCAATCAGAGGCCAGGCTGTCTGAGGCGAGTCTGAACAAGGACACATAGTTCCTACCACACTGTCAGGTTCCAAAACCTGTAGTCAGGCATCAGAGCTGGCATCAAACTACCCAGTGAGTAACAAAACCACCAAGACCAGTATTGCCTCCTAGCAACTATGAAAATGTACTGACAGCTCAGAAGGAAAATATCTCAGTTTGAAGTTACAAATCCAAATTCTTCCTCAAATGCTTCCTGATGCGTTATATGAAACATGGCACTATTACACATGGCTGAAAATTAACATTTCAGTTAGCAACTGATATCTTTGCATCAGATGATCTTCTGGAAGCCAGCCAAGTTGAAAATGAAGGTACATTAGTGAAAAGATAATTAGTGACTTTGAAATGCTGCAGAAGGCATCCTGTGTATGCTATCAGCTCCACATCACCTATGTTAGAGAATACATGTTAAGGAAACTGATCAGAAGTTATAGAAACATATAATCATTCAAGCTGAAAAAGACCTTTAAAAATATAGTCCAACCATAAACCTAACACTGCCAAGTCCATCACTAAATCATGTCCCTAAGTGCCACATCCACACTTTTTTTAATTACCTCCAGGAGTGGTGACTAAGTCACATCCCTGAGCAGCCTGTTCCAGTGCTTCATAACCCTTTCAGTGAAGAAATTTTTGCTAATATCCAGTCTAAACCTCCCCTAGCACAACTTGAGGCCATTTCCTCTCATCCTATCACTAGTTACTTAGGTAAAGAGGCAGACACCCAACTCACTAGAACCTCTTTTCATGTGGTCAGTGTGGAACAGAGATAGCTTCACAAAAGGGAAATATCTGCAAAATAAAAGCATTAGTTTTACCCACATAAGTGATGGCTCTAACTGTATTAACTGAAGACTATGAAAAGCCATGGAATTTAATAGCCAGAAAAGAAACTGAAAGCAAGGAAAAGTAAAGTAGATCAAATGCTAAATTAAGAGAATTGCTACAATGAAAGTAGTTGGCATTGATTTTCTAACAAGATAGATTTCTACAACATGAAAGCACTTACCTTTTCCTGCTACACAGAGCACATCTTTGACAGATTATATTTCTCCTTGTCATTTATGTGTGTTTTATATTCAAATGTCATGGTTCAGTTAGACTAGTATTACCAAGTAGTTCCGTGCTATAGAACATGGACCACGCCACGCCACCTCAAATATACAAAATGTCAAGCAAGACTTCCCATTTAGATGGGAACAAGTTTCAGACTGAAATTTACCATTTGTAAAAACATTGCTACACCATGAACTAACATTAGACCCAGGACCTTCTGCACTCCTTCATACCACTGTCTTCTCTAGAGAAACTTCTGTTGCTTATTAGGAGGTCTTACACTAAATCTCCAGACTTTAGACAACAATAGGAAGATTTAAATACAGATCAATAAAAAGAAGCACTACTAATTGGTGATAAGTGCCCACATTCTGTTTACAGAACATTATGCCTACCTGCTGGCCATCACACAGGCTGGGTTTTGCTACAGTATATTTGCTTTTATCAGAAATTAGTGAATTTGTAACTATAAAAACACAATGAAGCTCAATCAGGTGGGATGTGAGCACTTGCATCATTGCCCGATTAGAAAGAGGAAGGAAGAAAGTTGTTTGCAGAAGGAAGGTTAGAGGCAAACAGCAAAGTGGCATCTGAAATAAGAGCTCTGCCACAAAGGTATCCTGTCCTGTCTCAGCCTCTAGAGGAACAAATAACTTACTTCATGAATTGCATCTATTATGCATTTCGTTAAAAACTTTTAGTATTTGGTGACAATAAAAGGACTTCAGGAAATCCATGTGGTTACCAGTCTCGTTGCATGGGCTTGCTTTTTGGTTGAGGTTTTCTGCACGAACTGCTATTTGCATCTTTCCCGCCAACCATAGGCCTTTCTAAAGGACTGTAAGCCATAGCAGAAACATTACCTGATCAATGCCTGGTTTTCTTGAATGGGCACATCAGAAAAAGTCTTTTTTCTTGATAGATATTCTTCAACTTTTTGTCGTCTTTGTTCTAGTGGGTTTAAAAAAAGACATTATATTTTCAGTTAAAATAGTAATGCCAAGTTTTGTCTCTTAAAAAAAAGGAAATACAATTTAAAAAGCATCAAGACATTATGAAACAGACACTGGGGATTAAGAAAGCCATTAGTTTAATATTAATATTTTATAATGTCTTAGACATTCTCTCATTTATTGAGAAAGGCTATATTCAAGGGACAGTTGAATACAATTTCACACCTATACAAGATGGCTGGTTTGATGCATTAGGCTAAAAGAAACACGATTTTGTGATGGGAAGAAGTCAGGTCCACTCTTTTGGGTGCCTGTCCAGTATTTCACACACTTACTGTTGGTTCAGCAAGCACATTTTCCACTTGTGACACTAGTAAGATAAGTATAGCACATGTGAAAAACACCACGCACCTGAACCCAACTGACCATCTGCACTATCATTTACTTTTCTTCTGTTGTCATCTGCACAAGTGTTGAAGCAACGAGTGTGCTACTAACAGCACAAAATGATCCTGAAAAGGTCTTAAGCCAGCTGTCACTGTCTTAATACAGAAAGTCATTCCAGAAGATTATACTATTTCCCATGTTTTCAGTGGTTAGCTGCACACCAGACTTGTGTCCTTCATAGGACAATATTGTTGATCTTTTTCAGAGACCTTTCCTTATTCCTGTAGGGAGCTAGTGACCTTGGCTTGATGGAAGCAGCTGGAATAAGATGGTCCTGCCACACAAAGCAAGCTCAAGCATCCACACAACCAGTCTATACAGTTAAGACTCCAAATCTTACAACTGTTTCATGTGCAGTGGGATGTGAGAGCAAGAAGTTAAAGCACAATTGTTGACTCAGAACGATTCCTCAATGGCATCCAGGAACTCATGGCACTGCACCATCTTCCAGCACAGACAGGCTCATTCAGCAGTGGAAGTCTTCAATGAACTCACATACAAAACCTAACTCCTGCCCCTCCTAGGCAGGCATAAATCCCTTTTTGAATCTCTTTGCACAGGCTCTTTATCTTTCATATTTTGTCTTGCCCATTGTTCTTGAGTCACACTTCAGAAATCTCTGCAAGGTCCATCAACATGTTCCCTCAACGCTGAGGTATTCCTGTATTACTGAAGTCCAGGCTGTAGAAATTGCTAAAACATTACTGCTTTTGAGGACCTGAACGTTAACCCTTAAAAGAATTATGTACTTGATCGCACACACTCCACGGTAAGAAGTAGTCATGCCACAGGACAGGGTGATTACCCACCGAACCACCTCCTAGTATGGGAGAGATGGAAAAGGCAAGTTCTTTCTCGCACACTGGCACACCAAAGCCTGGAACACACAGCCAGCAAAGCAGGTCGAGACTTAGGCTTGCTGCAACACTGCGTTTCATTTAAGATATAGTGCTTTTTTAGCACAGCTGCCCAAGCCCACGCTGAAGGAAGCTTGAGAGGCAGTGTACGTCACCGGCCTCTGAAGGGGTGTGCACCAGCTAGTACGTCGGACATGTACCTGCCAAGAGATGCTGCACAGCAGCAAGCTCAGCATGCACCCTAGAGCTTTCCAGGCGCCTTCTGCTTCAGAAACTCAGGTCTCACCAGCCCCAAACTGCACGGTCCCACGGGAGCAGTTCAGCTCGTTCAACTTTAGAGAGACCAAACCGGTCGGAAAGCAAAAAACAGAGCAGTGCGGGTCTAGATCAGAGTATCTGCTTGTTTCGACAGGATCATCTCGAATTAAGGCGTGCCCTTTATCACGAAGGGAGGCCTTCACTCCGGAAGCCCTGCCCGGGGGTGAGGGGAGAGCGCCGGCCCCAGCCCCGCGAGGGGAGGGCGAACTCCCGCAGGCCGGCTCGCACCGGTCAGAAGCCGCAAGGCCTCGGTAAAGCGCTGCTGCCGAGGCCTGACCGGCCTCCCACCCCGCCTGAGGCTCCTGCCCCTCATCTCCCGCTTCCCGAGGGGAGCGACCAGCCCCCGCGCCCCCGCTCCCTTACCCGCCGCGCCAACGACAGCCAGACCCAACGGCCAGCGCCTCGGGAAGCGATTCAGCCCCTCCGGGCTTTGCCCCTCGGTTGCCCCCGCCGCTGCCTTACCTCGGCACGCCGGCCCGGACCGGCGGCCGGCCGGGAGCTGAACTGAGGGACGCGCCGCCATGGCCGCTCGCGGGGCGGAAACGGGGGGGGGGGGGGGGGGGGGGGCGGGGGCCGTTTGAATCACCCGCCGCACGGCGCCGCCGCGATTGGCCCGGCCGCGCGGCTTGAACTGGCCAATGGCGAGCGGGGGGCGGGGCCGGCTGCGCCCGGTGCACAGGCCGGGCCGGCAGGGGGCGCGCGTTGCGGAGGGACGGGAGGCGGCGGCGGGAAGATGGCGGCCGGTCCTCGGGCCGTCGCTAGGGGGCGCTGCGGCCTGCTCGCCCGGCGGGCCGCGGGTGGGGAGCGGCGGCGGCGGCGGTGAGGGAGGCGGGGAAGAAGGGACGGGGCTGCCCGCCCGCCATGGACCGGTTTGCGTGGACCAGCGGGCTGCTGGAGCTGGGGGAGACGCTGGTGGTCCAGCAGCGCGGCGTGCGCCTCTGCGACGGGGAGGAGAAGGTGACGGGAGCGGCCCTGCGCCGGGGCTGGCGGCGCGGCCGGGCCCGGGGGCCCGGGGCCGGAGCGGGGCCGGGGGAAGGGCCCGTCCGTGGGCCCCGCGGCTGGGGACGTGACTGTGGGCGGTATCGGGCGAGGTGGGCCGAGAGGAGGGTCGTGGAGGGGCCTGGGCTGCGGGCGGAGCGTCGATGTGAGGTGCGGGAGGACGAGCGCGTTTTGCTCCGGCGGGGTTTGGCTGTGCGAGGAGACGGGCAGGGAGGAGGAGGAGGAGGAGATTCAGGCTCCGTGGGGCCGGGAAAGGCCGGGAGCGGCGTGTGCCGCTCGGAGGGAGGGGTGGGATCCCCACGGGGCCCGTGGAGCTGGTGTCACGGTCGTGAAGCTTGCTGTCCGCTGCCTGGGCTGCCGCGGCCTGCACAGCAGCTCTTCGGCTCTGATGCTGTGCGCAGGGCACGCCGTACAGTTCACCCTTGAGTCATCTGGGTAGCTGTGAAATGCTCTTTCGCTCTCGTCCTGAAGGGTGCTCTCGGGCCCTCTCATCTGAGCCTACTCAATTACTGGTTTCCATCACGGCTGGAATAGCTCTTGAGCTCTCCTACTTCCTCCCCACCAGAGTAGGTGCACACCCTAATAAAAAGCTGTAAAAACGTGCCTCCAGTTTTACAAGTAGGAAGCAATTTGCTAACAGAGATCTTTCCAAATACTGATGGCTGTCTGATAAAGAAATTTTCAGCGATAAAATGGACAGAAGTAATAGTTCTATGTGATAGCCTGCAAGAGTTCTGACTGTACGTAGCATCTTCTTATTAGGTTGCTTTGTTTTTTTGCGTAACTTTTAGTTTCTTGTCAGCAAATAGTGTTCCAAAGCCAATAGCTCTGTTTAAAACATATTTAGGGATGCTTGTATATCTTACATAACATATGGAGGGAGGATCCTTCAGGATTTCCTGGAGGAAGGTTTATACAGTTGAAAAAGGAAGTTTGTATATATCCATCTGATCCTTTCATACTAATTTTCTCCATTGTTTCCTAAACTTCGTTTATTGTGTTTTCTGAAAAAGAGAGTGTTCTCAAAATACCGGCTTGTTAAATTTGGTTGCTATGTTGTGGTAATGTGTAATGTTTCCAAGACCAGTACTTATGCAACTTAGTGGTTAAATTTGTGACTGATCTGTTTTATTTTTCCTGTTTAGGTGAAATTTGATAGTGGAGTATTATTTCTTAGCACACACAGACTAATCTGGAGGGATCAGAAGAATCATGTAAGTCCCACTTTGGCCTCTTATATGTCATTCAATTGTAAATTCCATAATAAAAACCAGGTAGCTTGCAGTGAAAAGGCGGCACACAGATTTTTCTTCCCTTTGTATCTGTTTTGTCTTACAAGTTCAGTCCATTTTTTCGCTCACAATGAAAAGAAAATTATGTACAAGTAATGTTTTCTCATCCAAATTCTGCTTTAATAAGTGATCGTGCAGAGATGATGAGGGATGGGAATGAGTTATATAATTTTTCCTCTTCTATGCCACAAAAACAGAGGAGAAAAGAGTCTGGTATCATGCACTAAAAACTGTTGGTTTTGAGACTGAAGTTGAATGTGTGAGGCAAATCATAATGTGAATTCTTCTCTCATGCTCCTTGTCTAGGGAGACCTTTTCTTCCTCATTGTGTTTTCAAGTCCAAGTTCTCCTGTCATCTTCTCCTAGCATATAGTCCCAGACCATGATTTGATCATAGAGTGTGTTTGGTGGCAGTATTATTTCGTACAAACTTCATGTTCTTGTGCTGAACCACCCCTTCAATAAGCCAAAACATTGGTCTGTACTGCTATGGAGAATTAACTCCGAGGCTACGTGGCAGTGTCGGAACCACAGTGTGATACTGCTGCTGAAAGCTTTGTGTCATCAAGCCACAGCCTGAGATTGCAGGCTAGAAATGGGTGGGAAAGACTGCAAAAACATATAAAGCTCTAAGCACAGGCTGTGACAGGGTACACGCTTTCCAGCTGCAAATGGAGGAGAAGTCCTCCTCAGAACCGGCTTGGAATGTGCTCGTTTTGGACACAGTCTTTTAGAAATTTAGCCCTGGAAGCCAAAGTTTACAACATGTTCAGATGACAACTTTTCAAAGGCCTACTGTATTCCACTGGACTAGTTTTGTGCAAAGATAGCTGAAGCACCTCTGGCATCCAAAGGCCATTCCCTACCAAATACCATATCCTTGCTCCAAACCAGGAAGCCACCAAGAGCCTTCTAAGGTCACCAAGGATGGTCTTAATTTGGCAAAGCAATATATTTTTTTCCTTAGGGATTGTTTGCAGGAACAGCAGAACTATTTTTAGTACAAATTTTTCAGAATGTTTTGAGAGCTGGTGCCCAGGATGGAGTTACTGTTAAACAAGTCAGTGGTTGATTGTCCAGACCATGAGCTATTATGTAGAAATTAACTTTTTTTTTGGCACAGTCAGTGTGAGATAATTTATTTATGCTAAAATGTCTGGGTTAATCACTTCTTATTTCTTCATCAGCACCTCTTTTTGAGAGGTTGGCACGTACTGCTCCTTATCTCTCTTGGACTTTTCGCTTGCTTGGAGTAACATTAAGCATTATGGCTTCAGCCAGTCTTACAGCTGTCCATATCCCTATTCTGTCCTTCCCAACAAAAGGGTGACTTTTGTCTCTTTTCCCCAACTTATCCCCTTGCTAGGCCCCGTGGTTTTTTGTACTCTTCCAAGATCACTGAATTTGCTAAATCAGTAGAGAAGAACCTTGGAGAATAAGAAAAATAGTCTTATTTTAACAAATTAATTTAACTCAGCAAAGATTCTGATAAGCTCCAGGCTTGATTAACAGAAGGGACAGAAACATGTGGCCAGGAGATTGGCAAAAATTACCCAGTTCTTATCAGGGGAATATGAATATAAATGACTTTGTTAGTGTGGTAATTAAAGCTGATGTGTTTTCAAGCTCTGAGGACTGAAACATGGGAAGCATGGTGCCCTTTTATTTTCATGGTGAGTTGTTGGCTAAGCTCAGCTGCGATACAACATCAGCCTTACAAAGCTTACCTAGCTTACCTAGAACAAACTTGTAGAGAGAGTCCCCTTTTATCGTGTCAGCAAACTTTAGTAATGAATGGGGCACTTGTCATTAGCAAACCTTTTTACAAAAAGAGGCAGCTGTGTTTTATAGCTGCTGTTGTTACATACCAGCTGCAGTTGAATAGTGCAGAAAATACAGTGATTTCCACAGGAAGAAAAATACGTAATTCTTTTAAGTTTGTTACATAGCTAGGTTTGAACAACATCTTAAATCGTAAAATCATGCATAATGTGAGCACGAGACATTAGAAAAAGATATCCAAATAAACTCACAACATTTTAAACACACGTTTCTTTTCGTATCCCTTCCTATTGCTTCTCTCACCAGGAAGGGGTGATTCTAAGTCCTTGTGTTTACAATAAGTTCATCACTTTCTAGCTGTGAACTAAATGAATCAATCATTTTGACAGTGTGCATATCTATATGTAGTTGGACTCTTGTCATTTTCAAAAAAAATTTTTTAACAGAAGTATCATTTTTCCTGTATTTAAAGTGTCTAGAGCTATGTGGGCGTTTTGTAAACATGAACTGTTCTATGTAACAGCTGTAGAATCTGGAGCCATAGAAGAATCTGGATAGCTTGTAATAAGAATTTTTAGTACAGGAAGTACAACCTGTGTTTTTTCCTAATAAGATGTTTACTCATTGGTTGGAGTTCTGCGTATATACTTCCCTAATCTCCAATTTAATGAGCATTTAATTGTTCCATGCAAAGAGGAAAAATTTTGGTAGTAGAGCTTGAGAGGGCCCAGTAACAGTGTTGGTTGTAACCTGGTGTTAGGCACGCCCTTAGGGCAGCTGGAAGGAAGAGGTCCGAAGAGAAAATGTAACCTGGGTCAGTCACCAAGCTGTTGTGCAGAAGATGGTGTTCGCCAAAGGATGTTCACCGAGACGAGATCAGGCGCCTAATTAGATGCTTTGAATCACTCCCTTGAGCATTTTCTGTCTTAGATGCATAGAGAAAGACTTTAGCCAGGGTAGGTTAGTCTCCCACAGATGGATACAGTCACGTTTCTTGCTCTGCTTTGTTTTGCCTAAAGCACAGACCACTGAACGTATGTTGAGATGCATCCACTGCTGGATTAAGTTCTTGGGTGTGGGATAGATGGAGAAATTCCTGTCTCACTCAGAGGATAGTCTAGTTTTTTAGACATTCAACACTTAAAAGACTGATGCTTTTGGTTGTTGTTTTAGCTCCCAAAGTAACATCACTGCAACAATGTTAAGAACCTATGAGCATTGTGCACCTACAGGGATAAACTGCAGTAGTGTGGAAATTTTAGTATTTAAATTTTGAACTTGGATACTAAAAATTTGCTAAATTCCCGAGTCCTCCTGTAAATCTAGCTTGAAGTGTCTAAAGTTGACATACTGATTAAGTTTGGTTTTTTGATAATCTAGAACTCAGCTTCAACTTTATATTAAATTTTCTATTTATATTTCTCTTTAATAGATTGTTTCAATTGTTACCATCATATTT